GTTCAAGTAAATTTTGAGTAAACCTGAAAAGCCTTTAACCCTGAAAATGCCTAATTGTAGGAGAGTTGCACGGGAGTTTAGACTCGTTTCTTAGTTGTGTGGCCTTGGGCAAGTTCTTTTGTTGTAATTGTTGTTTCATGAGGGTTTCCTCTTCTGAGCTTCTTCTCTAAAGGTATACTCAGTGCCTTACAGGAGCTAGTCTAGTGCTCCATGACTCTCATTAGCCCCAGCTGCCACCCATTCCAGTCCCAGCCTACCTTGGCAAATTCTGCATCTCTACACCTCATCTGTAAGGGAAAAGTAAGTTTAGCTGCCTCCCAGGATTGTCAGAAGGATTAAATGGGTTTGTAACAATGTCCTTAGACAGAGCCTGGCCAAGACCATGTCAGCCACAGTGGAGGGTTAGTCAGTGTTAATGATAATGATGGTTATTGATCTGATCAGGCTGGAAACACCAGCTCTTCTGTCTTCTTGGGTTTCATCTTCCTTATCAGACATCCAAACCAGATCATACCAGATTTTTTTTTCCCACTTCATTTTAGCTCACGTGCCAGGATGTATAGGAAACATGAAAGCCTTTAAAGGCATTTGTCAAGATTTTCACTGCCTCACTAGATGTTAAATACTTCTTAAAAGGGAAAACTTTGTAGGAGGGAAACAGAAAATTACTTTCACGTGGACAGGACTATAAACGGGATTATTTTCTTGGGGGAAAACTTTCTAAATGGAAACCTCTTAATACAATAAAAGATTGAATTAAATACCTTTTCTCTTTGAAAATGTCATGCCATGGTCTTCATTATTTGTTATATTTCTAAAGTGCTTTTCTTCCCAGGAAGCTCATTACGAACTGTCTCCTGACTGGATTCAATTCAGCCCCTTTGTAGTGGAAGCACCCTGGAAAGACCAGCAGAAACAGATCAGGGAACCTGCAAGTGCAGGCTTGCCTGCCTTTGCATGGGTAGCACATGTTGTCAAGTGTGACACCATTGTTTATCATTAAAGATTCAAATTCTTTCATCCCTTTACACAGAAGATTCTCAAGTTATGAGCTTGATTCAAACTAGAGTAGACAAAATGTAGATTTCTTAGAAAGTGGGCTTCTAATGGAAATGCTGACAATCCATTAACAGCAGGAGGGCTAATGGCTGCCACTAAAAATATGCTGAAAGATTATAGTAATAAAAACACATATTTTAAAGTGCCTGCTAGAAGTTCAGGATTTTTTTTAATGTTACTGTTAATAATAGGCTACCCAATCCTTTTGGCATTTGATTTTGTCTCATAAATGGGCTTAATCTCAGGTAATGCTGTTGTACTGCACTATTTTTTTTTCTGTTTGATTTCACGGGGGTTGGCTGTCTTTTGTCAGAATTATCAGTGCTCTTAATGGAAGGTAAATAATTGCTATATTTGTAGACAGGTGGAATTTTCAATCTGGAAAGAATCTCAGTGATCAGCAAGGTTTCTCTATTATGTTTTCCAGAGGAAACTTTAGGCTCTAAAAAGTGATAGACTACAGCTTAGGAAGGGAGATGAGTGCATGGAAGAGTTAATGATGTGCTTCAGGTCTTAATGTTTTCCTTGCTATGTCACTATTAAAAAGTCTACGCCAGCTCCCTATCTAGACTTATTTGAATTTTTTTTCTTCCTATCATAATATGTTTTATGAAGGCAAAAGGAAGATGCAGCAGCTATCCCTTTGTATTTGTTGGGAATTGGTCCAGTGCTTCCTTCAGATACCAAAACCTGTGGAAGTGCAAGCCCCTTATATAAAAGTGGCATAGTGTTGGCAGAAAAATTACACACATCCCCTTGTATATTTTAAATGATCTTGATGACCTGTAATAGCTAATATTGTGTATACACTGTGGATTAGGTATTATGTTACATTGTCCAGAAAATAATTGCTAGAAAAAAAAAATCTGTGCAAGTTCAATGTAAATGCCATTTTTGGTCTTCACACAGTCGAACCCATGTGGAACTAGCACAGATGAGAGGCTGAGTGTATTCATTAAAGAACTCCTAGAAGGTACTAGGTAGAACTGGAGGCATAGTATTATGATCCCAGCTACTTGACAGAGCAGGACAAGAGGATCACAAATTCAAGGGCAGCGTGGGTAGATTAGAAAGACCTTGTGTCAAAAAAACAAAACAAAACAAAAAACAGGTGTATTGGCACGTGCCTTTAATCCCAGCATTTGGGAGGCAGAGGCAGGTGGAGCTCTGAGCTTGATGTCAGCCTGATCTACAAAGTGAGTTCCAGGACAGCCAGGGCTACACAGAGAAACCCTGTTTCAAAAAATAAGGGAAGCTGCAGTTATAGGTTAGTGGTAGAGTACTTGCCTTACATATGTGAGGCTCTGGGTTTAATTTCCAATAAAATACACATACACTCTCTCTCTCTCTCTCTCTCTCTCACACACACACACACACACAGAGTGGGAGAGGGAGAGAGACACAGAGAGAGACTAAAAGGAGAACTCACTGTAGTTCTGTTACACAGCCACAATATAGACATTTCTTCTCTAACACTGAGATCCTGAAGACCATCCAATCCTAAAACACATTTTTAATGTTATTAAGTATTCTGTAAAAAAACACAACTGATTTTCATGACTGGAGAGGTGTCTCAATTGTTAAGAGCATGTGTTGCTCTTGCAGAGGACCCAGCACCCACATGGTGGCTCACAGACATCCCTATCTGTAACTCCAGTTCCGGGGGATCCAAAGCCCTCTTCTGACCTCCTCAGGTACCAGGTGGTCATGAAGTACACACACATTGTTTCGAAGTTTACAGTTTTATTTGTTGTAACACTAGAATATCTATTCTCATAAATATTTACTTACGTTCTGATTCCTCAGGGAGAAAGTTTTTGCTCTTACTGCCAACTTACCTCGAGGAAGGTGCTGTGTATTATCATCCTCCCAGCAGTGGCAGTAGTCTGACCCGCTTCCTGTGCCCTCATCTACACTAGCCATTACAAATTAGGAAATTTTAGCAATCTCATATAGTAAAAAGTGTTTCTTCCCTGGCTGCTTTGCTCAGTTAATTAGAGCACGGTGCTAATAGAGAGTCTCATTCTGATCATTTGATTACTAGTGAGGATGACCATTTTTTTAGTTCATTTTATAATACCCGAAGCCTTTTTTTTTCTCTTCTTTTCTCCTACCCTTTCCACACGCTTCCCTCTCTTCCCCTTCTTTATCCCCCTCTCCCTTTCTTTTTGAGACAAGACCTCCCTCTGTATCCCAGAAAAAAAAAAAACAACACCATGATTGAAGTCTCAAAGACTAAAAAAGGCACATACCTGTACTTTCAGTAGTCCAAGGCCAGCTTCCATTACTTCGTGAGCTTGAGGCCGGCCTGGGCTACACAAAACCCTGCCTCAGCAAAACAAAAGACCCCCCCCCCCCCAAAAAAATCTGATTTTACTACTAAACCTTCCTTCCCTCCCACCATCTTCCTCAATGCAGCAAACGGCATCACCAGCTAGAAACTAGAGTCACTTGATGCTTTTTTTTCCTTCTACGTGCCGCATCCCATCTGCCTGTGAGTCCTGTTGGCTTCACAACCAGCCCATATACCGTAGGGTTCCATTTTGAGGTCATTCTGGTCAACATAAAAACTTAAGGGGCAGAAAACAAATCTGTGGTCTGAGTCTGGGAGAAGAGGGGGAGAAGAGGATACAAAGGGCCATTTGGGAGCTGATGGAGGCTCCTATGCTTAGAGTGCAGTGGTAGTCCCACAACCGTGTTTGCTTGTCACAGCTCATAGAAGTGCACCCAAAACGGACCTTCATTTAAATGTGGGGAAGAAGTGCTGGGCATTTCTTCCTTGTCATTTTTGTAGCCATCACTCTGAGCCAGGTGCCATCATAATCTTAGACTGTCCCCCATACTCTTCACGGCAGTTTCTTCCCAGAACAGTAGTGTAGAGGTCATAGGAAAAGGAAAAAAAAAAGTAAATTGTATTGTTCTTTTGATTACGACTCTCCAGAAGTTTTTCTTCCCCTCAGAGAAGGCCCTCTGTGACTCAGTTCCCCACACTATTTCTCTGGCCTGCTCTCGCCCAAGCTACCCACTCTCCTTTCTTTACCAGTTTTCTCGCCTTGCTCATTCCCCTGTCCTTTCAAACATTCCCGAATAGTTCCCCACAGAGGAAAATATGGAGTTCCCACAATGGCTGCCAAGAGCCTCCATGACAGTCACTTGCTAATTTTCCAGTGATCCCCACATAACTCTGTTCTCCTCATGATCTCCAGGCAGCAGACCCCACTCCAGCCCCATGATCAGCTTGTTCTTCCTAACACATGGCTTGCTGTCTTCTTAGGATTGTCTGTCAGACATCGGCTTCCCACTGATTTCCACAAGTGGGGTGATCACTCCCTCATCTCTCAGGTCTTTGCCTAGGTAGCAATTGCTCAGTGAGGCCTTCCACGGGAAACCCATTAGGAACTGCAGCCCAGTGCCCCAGTGTGGTAACATTGTGTTTTGAGATAATCTCTTGTAGACTGTAGGCTTGTCTCAAACTCCTCCTGCCTCCCAAGTGCTGGCACACAGGCGTGAGCCACCATGCCTGCTTTGGCATCTTCTCCCTTTGCGTCTTATTTTTCTCATGGATCGTATTTGCATTTACTGCACTATATACTTTGCTTATTGTTTGATTTCTCCTCAGATTCACGAGGACAAAAGTTTTTCTTTAGTTTTACAAGACCCTACCACTGCTGATGACATCGCTACTTTGGCAGTTAAATTGTACAGATGAAGGCCGAGAAAAGTCCCATTCATCAGTAGGGATTAGAACCTTAGGTATAAACTTCTTACTGGTCCCAGGTTTCACTCATTCCCCCCCCCCACAGCTTTTGACAACACGGAATGTCGTACAAGTCTGTGGGAACAGGTATTCTGGTGAAGTAGCTCCCCATCCTGCTCTCCCCTTCATTAAGCTGCACCCTAAATTGCTGTTAACAGATATCATCTTTCAATCTTCTCTCTAGAAACAGATGTTCCAAGAGAGGAGTAGCCGGATGCTACAGGCCTTATCTCCGAAGCAGAGTCCCGTGAGCAGCCCGACCCGGAGCCGGTCCCCTTCCCGCTCCCCATCTCCCACCTTCTCATGGCTCCCCAGCAAAACCTCTCCCCCCTCCTCACCCAAAGCAGCCTCAGCCTCCATCAGCAGCATGAGTGAGGGGGATGAGGATGAGAAGTAAAGGTGCCTGGCCAACAAGAGCACACCACACAGGATGGGAAGGGGTCCCAGGATGCCTGGGTGGTGTTGACAGCTGCAGCTCCTCAGGGTGATGGGAGTTCTGCCATGGGAAGGTACTAGGACCAGCTCCTTTTTCTTCTCCATACAGCCTGGCCTGGGCTCAGCATGGAGGTGTCCAACCTGAAAACCCACGCAAAGCTTCTTAGTGTCCTAGAATCAACCCACTTTAGCCCTGCTATGGAAAGGTTCAGAGCACTCCGTGAAGCGGGGTGATTTCTGCTTTCATCCACATCATCCACATCATCCACATCCATATCAAATAAGCCACCTTGAAAAGTGGCTGCTGTCTCACCCTGCTATCTCCAGCCCTGTAAGAACCTTGCACATTGCCTCCTATCATCCAAGCTCTCCCAGAATGAATTCCCTTCCAACTGAGGTGGCTAAGTGCTTCCAAAATGGGCAAGTTAAACACACATTCCAGCTGTCTCCGTTCGGCCCCTAAGGCCTGATGATGGAACGAATCAACTGTTTCCTGTTTCCAGGACCCTGACTCAGACACAGCTTCACTTTGGCCAGACAGAAAAGCGGAAACCTCTCATTCAAAGGACAGTTATGTCATGGTGAACTCCACTTCAGGCCTGACATGCTTCTGGCTGTACTTTTTCTCATGACTGGCATGGTGGCACTGTTTTCCAGAAATTACCTGAGTTGACGGGAAGCGCACGTGGAAACCTGTCTTGTCTAAAAAGAAATAACCAACCCAACGCAACCAGGAGCTGCTTTGCTTTGGCTCCAACGTGTGGACGATGAAAACTATCTCTTGGAGCTTCTTAAAGGAATGGCTCTTTCCATTTCTGACCACATCACAGTCCATAGTCCTCAAGTAACAGTTTGATGTAACAAACACTTAGCATACCGGTAGGGGGTGCTACCTGCACGTGTCTATGTATCCTCCAAATATGCCACCCCAGGGTGTATACCATATGCAATATGAATATATGGTGGTGGTGTCTGACTAGATACTCCTCTCCTGCTCTCCCCCCTGATGCCCTGCTGAAATGCTTGAGCTCAAGAACCATCTGGTTCCCTCCTGACTCGGGTACTTTGTCAACAGTTTAATCAAATGTTAGATTCCTGTAAAAAAATATTTTTTTTTTGCCCCAGAATATTAATATTCCTCTTGTTCTTCACCTATGACATTTTTGGGTAAAGGGATGCTCCAAAGTCTTGCAAACAATTGAAGGCTCAATCCTTTCAACAGTCTAAGAGACATGGAAATGATTTCTGGCCCTAGCTGCTCTGAATGTGATGGAGACTCTCAGGTGACTGTAGAACTATTCGGGGTCACTGTTCCCGAATCACATGTGGGGAAGGAGGAGGGCCAGTCAAGGTAGAATTTCCTGATCATCCTGGTAGAGAGAGGCAGCAGTAAGGCTTAACTGAATGAAGGCCTTAACCTGCAACAGATGGGCAAAGTCCAGCACTTCTGGTGACGCAAGCCTCCTTCTTCAGAGGCGTTGGGATGAAAAAAGGCACCCGTCTTTCCCCTTTGTGTTGGGGTTAAACTACCTTCCTGATCACCTGAAGATCAGTGGTGACTTCTGCAAAACTGTGAGGCTAAGCCAGCTTGGAACTTCCTTGTTCCTAGTTCTTCTTCCAGAACTCTGCAAAGTGCTCACGAAAGACCAGGGGACGGGGAGATGGGGGAACAGCCTGTGAGAAAGAAAGTTCTTTTCATAGCCAAGGCCCTCTCAGAGCATCGCTCTCCAGAGGCAAGGGCTTCCATTCTTCCATTGTGTCTGTTTGACCTCAAGCACCTCACCATGCACCCAAGACAAATCATGCATGTATGCCTTCCGTTTCAGCCAAATGACACTTGTGGCAGTGAAGGGACAAGGAGATCAACTGAGCAAATGGAGAAGAGGAGAAGAGAGGGTCCTAGAGAGAGGAAAGAAAGCTAAAAAGAAAATCTACTGTCACAACACTTCAGGTTGTGTGTGTGAAAACTCTTGAGGAAACATTTTTAAAAAGCTCTGACTCCATGACCTAGGGCAGATAGGTCCACTTTTACCCAAGGCTTGTTCTGAAGCAGATAGTATAGGGTTGATGTCTCAGTTGACTATAATTTTGCAGGCCCTACACATCATCCTGACAGGTACCACATACATAACTCATCAGAGAGTGCTACTGTAGCTGTGAAGGATGGGAAATGAAAACACCTGAATCATTCCAAGTAGGAAAACCCATTAACTGGGTTTAAATCTCCTCAATTTCCATCAGCACCTCCTCACCTTCCTAAAGCCACAAGTCTTCCACAAAAAAATGGGGAAGGATTCTGCTATCCAACCTTTAGTCCTTTGTGACCATCTATCAGTCTTTTCCGGCCCATACCCAGGAGCTGGGATTGCATCTTCTTTTGGTTGTTCAGTTAATTCTCATGGCTGAGAGTTAAGGAACGAATGAGAGCATAAAGTATGCAGCAAGCTTGGAGAAGTAAGAAGAAATGACAGAGAGCAAGGAAAGGTGTTCTTTTTGCTCCAGAAAGGAAAACTTAGGGAGTGGGGTGGGTTCGGAATGGAAGATGGAAGAAAATGAGACTAATTGGTGAGTATGGGAGAATTTGATTTTTCTACTTTTCTTCCAGGCATCGCTAGGCCCCTTACAAGCGAAAGAGGAAAACTTCCTGTTGCATACTTCCATGACTAGTGGATCCCCATGCAGCAGGAGGGATCCTGGCCTCTCTGGCTTCTTTGGCATATTAGCAATTGCCATATCCCCCTGAAACCAAGTAAACCACATCAACTCCCTTCACATAAACGACAGAGGTGCAGTTGCAATGCGATAGTAGCATTGAGTGGCCTATTTCTGTCATGAAATTTCACTGTCGGGATATCCCAGAGGCAAAGGTAAACCACCCCGTGAAGACACAGTGTGGCTTCTGACCTGCTATGGGGGCAGGAGACAGCCACTCTATGACCTAGATGCTGCAGTTACCCTGGTGGGTTGTGGCTACAGAAAGAACATGGCTTATTTTCTCTCCATCTTCAGGGTTTGCTTTAATGCCCAGTCCTATTCCGCAGATGAGCCTGGTTTTTCAGGCATCTGCTTAGCATCAGCCCTGTCCTAACCATCTGATGAGGAAAGAAGGAAGGAAGGAAAAGAGGTAGGAAGGAAGGAAGGGAGTGAGTGGTGAGTGAGCTCATCAGATAGTTTTGACTTCTCTAGTTTTCTGTTGTGTCACTGCAGTGTGTCTGGGGACAAAGCCATAAGAACAGCATATCTACTTAAAATTCTGCTGTACATATAAGACAATGACTCGTCTGGATTTAAGAATGACCTTATGCCCAAGCATTTGCTCTGGTGCTGAATAGTGCAAAATACTGGAACCACCCCTCCCCCACCCCCGAATCTCCTACAGCCTTTTCCCCTGCTCCCAAATGGACCACAGTATTCCCAACTTGTTTATAAATAAAGGGACGCAGAGTCACAATTTGGTTGTCCTGTTTATTGTGTGTTGCTGTGTTCCTACCTAGGAGCTCAAGCTGAATGTGCAAAATAGACGCATTGCAGCAGTTGTCCTGGGCCACTCACTGCCTGTTCAGCTGTGGCTTCAGCGCTCGGAAGGCTCTCACCTTGCTTTCTGCTGAATGGAGCCAAGCCTTGGAGTTGTCAAATGGCCCCAGGAACAGACCCACCTGAGAGGGAGGCCAGGACTGAACTATATGTCTTATCACTCACTTGCTTTGTGACTTTGATCAAACCACTTCACATCTCTGGCCTCAGTGTTCATTCTCATAGAACCGAGAGGGGCGGGGGCTTGAGGCAGTTGTGAGGTACCCTGCATTGCCCCCCAGCTTCTCCGAGATATCATGCTGATCAGGAGAAAGGAATCATTTCTCACAAAATAGAAAGCCTGCTGGGACCTCTACAACTGGCAGCATTGGTGATCTCGCTTCCACATTAACTTTTCAAATTACCATAAAATAGGTTTCGTTAAAGCATTTATTTTGTGTGAGTGTGTGTGTGTGTGTGTGTGTGTGTGTGTGTGTGTGTGTGTGAATCTTCATTTGTATGTAGGGGCATGTGCACGCATGTGTGCATGCATGTGGATGCCTGAGGTAAACTTTGGTGCTGTTTCTCGGGTACCATCCATTTTGTTTTTAGTCAGGGTCTCTCACTGCTCTGGATCACACCAGTAAGCTAAGCTGGTTGTCTTTGCCTCCCCAGTGCTGGAATTACATGTGTACATCACATTCATTTTTTTTGTTGTTGTTGTTGTTAGCATGGATTCTACTGTGCTATCTCCCCGGCTCCTCATATGGCAATTCTATACATATATTCAATATATGTTGTCCTTATTGTCCCCTTTTCCTTGCTCTCTTATCTTCCCTCTCACTCTTACTAGTCCCCTTCTTTTCAACTATTTTGCTCTTCTGCTTTCATGTCCCATGTATTCCATTCCCTTTCTTATTTCTCCTCCCCCTTTTATGTTTTCCCCCATGTATGAGCTCTATGACCAATGAGAGATCTCATTTTAAAAAAGAAGGTGGAGAGCAATTGAGGAAGACACCCAATATCAACCTCTGGTCTCCACATACATGCATTATACACGCAAATGAATACATAGCGTAAATTTAAATATAAATTCTGCATATGAAAAAGAATACAGGATGTTTGTCTTTTGAGAGAGAACTAAAAAAAAAATCAAACACTAAAACCCTAATCATCAATTAATGGGCTAAGGAATTAATAAACACAAATGGCCACTAAATATCTGAAAAAGTGTCCAAGATCTTTAGCCGCAAGAGAAATGCAAATTGAAACTTCTTTGAGATGCCATCTCACTTCAATAAGAATGGCTGCCATTAAGCAAACAAACAACAAATGCGAGGTGAAGCTGTGGGTCAAGGAGAACCTTTCTTCACTGTTAGTGGGAATGTAAACGGGTACAACCACCGTGGAAATCAGTTATGTCGGCTCCTCAAAACCTGAAAATAGAATGCTTTTCAAGTGTAGCTAGACTTTGGCAAGTGGCCAGTTTGACTACGTTTCCATCTTTAATCAGCTGGAAGCATATCGATGGAGGCAGCGACAGACACTAAATCACGATTCCAAGTGTCAACGCCGAAGAGAGCTGCGGCTGTTCTAAGAGTTATGTGCATACCGTTGTCCCACCCAATTCGGGAGCTTTGATTAACTCCATCTGGAGCTGGTCAGCTCTGTGAAATGAGTGCAGTTAACATTAGCATATGATCGAAAATGAAGCAAGGGCTATAGTCAGTCAGGGAAGACATTTTAAAAGAGGCCACATTACTTGGATTTACCACACAGATCATATAAATTCTTGACAGGCTGTATATAAGTAAGTTCTTGGTCTCTTCTTGATTTCTATGATACCTCAGACAAGTTCTTAAGGGAAAAACAGCACATTCTATTCTCCTATAAAACTCACGTACATCATAAAAATATTTATATACACACATCTTCTGCACTGGAATCCTCATTGGCTATTAAAATTGAATATTTAAGAGACAATGCAAAGCATCCTACAGCCATGGTGGCACTTTTCATTTTTTGTTTTGTCTTGTTTTTGATTTTTTTTTTTTGAGACAGGTTTTCTCTGTGTAGCCCTGGCTGTCCTGGAATTTGTTCTGTAGATCAGGCTAGCCTTGAACTCACAGAGATCTCCCTGCTTCTGCTTCTTGAGTGCTGGGATTAAAGGTGTGTGCACCACCACCACAATCACCACCATTCGGTGACACTTTCCAAACAATATGACAATTTATACACATCAAAGTACCCAGTAAACAAATTCTTTAAGAAACCACATAATACCCAGAAATACCCTTGAACTCACAACCTTCCTACCTCTGTCAAGAGTTGGGATTACGAACATGCATTGCTATGCCTGCAAACTGCTGACTCTTTTGCCTGGTTAGAAGCAATAATCGGATATATGTTTTAACCCTTCCTACTAGGGACTAGGGACCTTGCTTAATTCAATGTTTCTTGAATCTTGCCATCTGCAAGGAAGAGTGAATGGGACAGGTATAATGGGAGATGTCTTAGCCAAGCAAGAAGTTTTCGGTAAACATTTGAGTGAGTCACTATGTTTTGGAGATGCAAAAGTCCCTACTCATACAATCTTTGCTTGTGGTTGGTCAGCTTAGGTTTGTCTCTCCTGTCTGTCCTTGCCTTTAATTCTTAATGAGCTCTTAAGGAAAAGTCTATGTTTAGAGCCACAAAAACTTTTGATTCATACACTCCTGTCATCCCAACAGTTGAAAGAATGGCAGAAATATTGCTACAAAATTGAAGCCAGTCTGGGCTATCGAGCCTCAGCTGCATGGCAAGAACCTGTCTCAGAACGAACATATGAAAATCTATTCTGATTCTATTGAGCAAAATTTTAGCATTACCTTACCAACTCACCAATTTTACTAATGCCTTTGGGATAGAGTACTCTAACTACAGACTGCAAAGATTTTCAATTCTCACTCAGAGTGGAGGAAAATAAAAAAACTAAAATTTAAAAAACATTCCCTATTTGAAACCATTTGAGAACGTTGCAAAGAGGATTCTGACAATATTATCTCACATCTAGGCCCATAAATAGCAGAAAGGCTACAGTGAGCTCCCAAAGTTATTGCTGACATACATTCTTTCCTTGAGAACCTTGACAAGTAGGCTTAGGTGGTTCTGAGAATAGACCAAAGTCTCTTTTATGGATGAAATGCCCATCCTAGATCTCACCCTAGATTTTTTTTTTAATCACAGAGTACCTGAAAGGCTCCCTCAACTGAATAACAGGACATTCATTTACCTTTACAAATTGTTATTTCATTACTGGTTTTAAGAAGAGCAGTTTTCATATAGGAAGCACCATTCCAATTATTGTGCTAAGGTAACAATAATTATCCCTAACTTTAGAAAACATGACACCAGCTTATTAAGCTGTTAAAAGAATTGTTAGGAAGCTGGAGAGAGGGCTCAGTACATAATTGCACTTGGTGCTCTTCCAAAGGACTAAAGTTTGGTTCCCAGCAACCATGTTAGGTGGCTCATAGCTACCTGTAAGTGCAGCTAAAGGGCATCTGATGCCCTCTTCTGGCCTCCTTGGGAACCTATGCACATATGGCATACACTCATACAGACACACACACACACACACACACACACACACACACACACACACACATATTTAAAAAGTAAAACTTTTTCAAAATCACTGAAAGCTTCAACCTCCAGTACTCACAAGTTTATTTTTACTGAGGACCAAAAACTCTGTTTGGGTAAGATGTCAGGGAATAGTAACTGAGTCGTGTTAGTCTATGTGCAAAAGGAAGCAGCAGAGCCATGTGGTCCCAAACCCAAGCCAATACCACCCTTCCTCCTTTTTAGCTTTCCAATCACCTGTTAAACAGAGCATCAGTAATGTTGCTGTGCGGGTTTGCTGCCAACATTCCAGCCACTCTCCAAGGAATGTGCACTGTCAGGGGTGTGTGATGGTTGAGACACCTAAGGGAACTCTCCCAGGTGAGTGTGGTGGAAAGGCTTGGCCTCGGGGGTTCTGACCAGGAACCAGGGCAGAAGCCTGTGGCTACAGTAATACTTCATTTCAGGGAACACCAAGGAGCCCGAATGGAGATGCTTTGCAGAGGTGCCTGATCTATGGCACAGGTAGCAAGGATGAGACATGTTCTGCTGCAGGACAACAACAGGGAAAAAATTAAGTATTATTTTGTTATTTCCTTATCCAAAGAGAGCCTGTTATTCTGATGATGTCATCAGTGCTCAAGGAGACAAAGGACAGACCGACATTTGCAAATGACAGTTGCCATCAAGCACTTAGGTCAGTGAAGATAGGGCCTTAATATTATTTCTTAAAACCCAACAGAGGAAAAGGCTGTAGATGGATATTTGTTGCCACTAACCACAGGTTTTTCAGTTGCACTAGGCACGCTTGAACTGTTGAGGTGGCCAGCGTCAACAAAGCTAGAACAAGAATAGTATCTGTTTAAATTTCATTCAGAATGGCAAACAGGAGACTCCAGAAGCAGTGGAATAGAGGAAACAGGATGGGAGCCTACTGTAGAGGGTCCTCTGAAAGGCTGCACCCAACAGGGGATTGGAAGCAGATGCAGAGATTCACAGCCAAACTTTGGACGGAGCTCAGGGAGTCTCCTGGAAGAAGAAATGGGGTGGGGATAGAGGAACATGGAGGGGACAGAATCCCCACAGGGAGACCAACAAAACTAAAGGATCTGAGCCCAGGGGGTCCTGCAGAGATTGATTCACCAACCAAGGACCATGCATGGAGAGGACCTAGACCTCCTGCTTAGATGTAGCCCACTGGCAGCTCAGTCTCCATGTGGATCCCCGAGGAAGGGAAGCAGGGGCTGCCTCTGTCATGAAGTCAGTCGACTGCTCTTTGATCCCTCGCCCCTGGTGATGAGGCCTTATCAGGCCACAGAGGAAGAGGAT